TGGCATGGACATGATATATTTTAAAACTATTTACTAGGGTCACATTAAGGATTCCTGAATATGTGCATAAAACCTTGCATACAAAACACCAGTATGGACAGTGCTGGACATGTCACAGTGTAAAGGGATCTTTCTATAAAATGTATTATTGTGTATGAAGAAAACGGTGTAAACTGTCTCCCCCCAAACTATGTTCCCTCATCACCTTATAGTCATCTTCAGAATACTAATATTTGGCTGAATACTAATACTTGCTAAGATTGCCCCAGTAGAAAACAAAATTAGGAATTTTAATTAGTCTATGTTTCTTGATGTGAGTTATTATGAGAGAAATTTCTGCGTGTTTGCATGCATGTGTTCCTGTGCATCTGTATGCATGTATGTGTGTATCTTTATATACAGGTGTCTGTATATTTGTAAGTGTGTGTCTGTAGATTTGTATGCATGTGTATTTTTGTATGCATGTCTGAGTCGGTGTGTTTATCTGTATGCATGTGTGTGTGTGAATGGATGTCCGAGTGAGAGAATGTGTGTGTGTGTGTATGAATCCATCTGCTAGCATCTTGTGCACACATTAGTAAAATGGCATGCACAAGTATTCGAAGTTAATGCCTCAGCTTAAGTTTCTACTAACTGAACTTTACATACTGCAGGCTGTTACATCATTCCAAAAATAATCTACTCAATTCTGTACCTAACTTCAGCAACAGAGTATATATCACTCACTCAATCAAATCCTCCAAAAATATCCCTTATCAGAAACTTTTGCCTTCTTACTTATAAGCACACGTGTATTTAGCTCCTAATTTTCCAATATTAATTAATTGTTCACATTCCAAATATAACAGTTTCTTGTAAAGCCAAAGTACACCTTTAAAATCCATTAGTGATGGGTATTATAAATCTCTTGACATCATAGACTGATTTCTGGCAACCATCCAGCCACTGGGAGCTGGAGTCTGCTACATGTAGCAGAACTTCCTGATCAATGCACTAGTGCATTACCCAGAGCTCTTTTGGCAAAACCCCCTGTCAGAACTAAACACATCCATTATCAGATCACATGATTTGTTATGACTGCTATACATGTGACTTGGGTTAAGTAATGGGTTAAGAAATGTGGGCATTTCTGCATGGCTCCATACAATTTGGCTATTTTGTTACCTACTCAACAACCAGCAAATTTTCGACAGCCAGATCTTTAAATCTAAAGCATGTTGTATGGTCTTCATGTTATATCTGGACTGCCACTTTTGCAGCTATACAGTCAGTCATGCACACTCACATTTGCACAATCTTGTCTTAATGAACAGAATCTGTTCTTACAATACAAAAATGGTCTTTTTTCTCCTTCATAGTAGTTCCAATATCACATTTGTTACATATAGTGAGCGAAACCTAAGCCTTCTATTCATCTGATATATATATACACACACACATTTTTTTGTGCGCACATGCACACACACACACACACGCATACACACATATGCACATGCACACACACATGCACACACACACACACATGCACACACACACACACAGACGCATACACAAAAATGTCACCTAATCAAACTACCATCATATAAATTGATCTCACTAACTTGGTACCTAATAGTGTGCTTCAAAGTATTGCACAAAGGAAATAATTCTTTTCTTCCTCAATAATTCTTGAGGAAAGTGTAAAATCACCTTCCATGTACAGATCAAACTAAACAAAACTAAATTCCAATATCTGAAAAATTACGAAATACGCATAGGGAGAAGAAAAGAAAAAAGAAAGATAAAAAGAAAATTATCTTCTATTTGCACACATTGGTACTGAATACATATCTACTTTAATACAAGCAAGCAGGTATTTAGAGCATGTCCTCTATTAGGGTGATTACTTGTTACATTCGTTAGAGAGGTGTAGTTTAGGATGCTGACAGTGGCATTACCTTTCACGAGGAAAATTCTAACTCCACTAAAAGGGTTGAAGCAAAGACATGATGGAAAAATGTCTAACTTTATAACTCATCTACTTGGACGTGTTTTTAGTGTCATACTTATCCTCCTTTTTCTAGCTAATTCTTTGTATATGCAATATCTTTTCTCCTCTACCACATATGGAAAACCCATCATAGGTCTAATAGCAAGGCACATAATTCTTTTTCAAGTTGATGTCTGAGCTTTGTGCAAAATATATGCCTAATGATTACAAGTTTGATTTTTTTTTTTTTTTTTTTAGCCTTTATGTTCAGATTTTAAACCATACAGTCACCTTTGTTACGAAATAGTATTAGCATGAAAAATAGAAGATAAAAAAAAAGTAAAACTTATCAACTAGCAGCATAACTTGTAAGTACAACCTTGCTAGTAAAACCCTTTTCACCTTATACAAAAGTTAAAGAAGTCCAATGTACGTTGGAATTATTCAATAAATAAAATCTATTACAAAATATACACACAGCCTTGTAAGGCAATAAAAAACAAATAAAAATACATCTTTTATAATCAATATGTAAACAGAGCAAATAAAATAATAAAAGTAATGACGGCCATTACTTTCTCTCACAAGGAATCTATGGAGATAATAATTTCGAATAAAAAATGAGAATACAAACGATGAACCTGTAACAGTTAACACAAGAAAGTGCATGTTAAAATAACCCAAAACTCTGGAACTAAACCAGCAGTACTAACCGAAAATAATTAGAATAAATTTAACTCATATCAGATCACACTACAGTGCCGTGGTTTCCTTCTCTTTCCAGAATATTTTTTTAACAATCTTCATCCAACTGGTGGTATTTGTGACTGCTATCAACTGCACTGGATGACATAGAGTAAGCACGGAGGTTTGTAGCCGTGTAGCTCTCCTGCAGGAACATAGAGGTAGCCACAAGGAGCACCATCTGTTGACAAGAGCAAACATAAATAAAGTATTTGAAATCCCAAGCTGTAAAGACATCTATCCCTAGCATTTAAAGTAAACTGAAATATACAAGTTTATTTCCTATATGCAAGTCTATTTCCTATATATCTATTCTAGTAGATTTAATATTTGTAAAATACATTCACTTACCAAAGCTACATGCATGGCACACACAGGCAGCCATACCCCTCTGCTCAAACTGTGATAATCAATCCCAATGGAGTGCAGTACAGTTGGGAGACATCCCTGTGTTAAAAAGAAGATTTTAATAATAAACCTTGATTATTCTAAAATTACCCAATATATGCATTTCCACCACTGTATTCCAAGTCTCAAAACTACTATGTAACTCTGGAATACTAAGAATATTTACTTACAAACCTACAGATACTAAATACAAAAGTCCTCACCTCTGTAATAACTTCATCCTCTGGGTCTGCTAAATTAGCAACACCCTTTCCACAGCCTTCTACAACAAGGAGACAACAGGAGTCTGGCACATCTGTACCATTGCCAAATGTTGTAAGGAACCAATCCTTGTAAGACACAACACCACAACAGTTCATCTGCAAAGTTTGGATTTCTTTTAATCTTTGTATATAAAATTTTAAAAAGCTATACAGATCGTATTCAAAATTAAGCTTATCTCTTGTAAACCTTCAATAAACATTAATACAAAGAGAATGCAAGCCCTTACCCTGCCTGTTTTCTTTTAGAGGTTATTCTAAAACTAAAATTACAGCGTGCTTGTTCTTAGAATAATTAACATGAATATACATTCTTGTTCTAGTAAAACATTACATTGCCACTAATGGCCCTCTGAAAAATTAAAACGTGATATAGATGGCTTGGCAATGTAGTTTACAATACTACTGCTACTTTAAGTAATCTTGCTAACTGGTGCATATATTCAATATTTAATTTATTACATAACAGATGTACTGGCTTATGTTATTTTATTGTATATACTACAGTAACTACATATTAAATAGGGGATTAGTTTTAAAAATATCTACCAACTACATTAACCTATTTCTCATCACCTTGAACATAATTATAATATAACATCAATATAACAAAATGTATACAAAGATAGCTTTCACAAAATTAATCAGCAACACAAGTTTTCATACCTCCATCTGGATCTCATCCCATAGCTGTGTGTCAGAGACATTGAGTCCATAGTCAACAGAAGTGATGTGCATGGAATGTGCCATGTAGTTGCTGAGGGCCTGGCCTAGTACATGCTGCTTCTTGTAAACGAGGGTGGTTCCTGCGAGTTCTGTTACAACCATCAACAGCAGCAAGGACAAACACTGTAACACAAGTTTTAATTAATTATACTGATAAAGACTTCTGTAGAATATGATATATATATTTCTTAATCTCTCACATAAAAAAAAAAAAAAATTGAACCAAGAAATTAAAGCATCCCTCCTCCAAAATAAACAGCAGTGTATCTTACTGTTTTAAATGCTTTGGGTTTTGGGGCCAGTGTTGCAATAGCTCCTGCAGTGCTGGTGGCAGTTATTCCAACTCCCAGGACCATGATTATTCCCACAGCAATCCATAGCCAACCAGGCAGCCATGGGGACAGATAGGCTACATATGCTGTCAATAAACTCCCACCAGTATAGCCAACTGCTATACCAGTGCCCTGCAAAAAGAGGTTAATCTTAGCTGAAGAGGTAAGTATTACTCATCCACATATTGAAAGAAAGACCTATATTTCTCGGTAGTAACTAAGAAGAATAAATTAAAAGGAAAACAAAACAAAAAAAAGACTAAGTCAGAACAGTGAAATGAATAGATAAAAAAGGAAAGCAAAACAAAATAGGGAAGGATCCAAAGCGAAATATATACTAACTTTCAAAAACAGTCACTAGTCATTTTCCACAGATCCTACTATGGTCATGAATTTCATTGCATGACAAACCACAAACCATCTGACAAGATAGTGATGTTTATACTCCACAAGAATATTCTGAGAAAGACTCAACTATGAGATATACTTAAATAACTTGACTGGAACCATAATCTGTTATAGTTTCTTTCACTTGAAAAATTATTACATACCAGTTCCTTG